GGGGGGGAAATTGGAGGGAGAGATGAACTATGAAACTATGGACTCTGAGAAACAAACTGAGGATTTTAGAGGGGAGGGGGGTAGGGAGGATGGGCTAGCCTGGTGAAGGGATATTAAGGAAGGCATGTACTGCATGGAACACTGGGTGTTATACGAAAACAATGAATCGTGGATCACTACATCAAAAACTAATGATGTATTGTATGATGACTAACATAACATAATAAAATAAAATAAAAAAAAAAGAACTATTTAATCCCCCCCCAAAAATCGAGTCTCTCCCATTGCCTCTCTTTTGCCTTCAAAATTAAGCACTACTGTAAATTTTGTGTTTACTATTTCCTTGTTTTTCTTTGCAATTTTACTAAATATATGTGTTCCCAAAACAAAAAATAAAATAAAATAAGAAACTGAATTTAATCCACAAACATATTGTTCCCGCAAAGGAAGATAATGCATAAAAGAGTTCACTTTATGCTAGAATGTCCGAACTATAGACATTGTAAATATTTAAGATATCGTATGCCCTTTGATAAAGTAAAATGTCCCCATAATAAGCCAAAGTGATTTCCTTTATTTACTATACCTAAATAATGTTCCTACTTGTTTAATTCTTTTTCCCAGCATATCAAAAATAATACTGTACAATAAATATCAGTATATATTTATTGGTAATTTATTTTAAGTAAACATTAGCAGTAGAAATAAATATTACTTTTAGAGTTCAAAGAACCTAGAGATCTGAAATAATCAAATCTCCTACACAGTAACACACTACAGAATCTGAGCAGTAGTAAGAAGTCTTCTTTTTACCACCAGAAACTCACTACTTCACTCTACTACTCACTCACTTACTGAACGGCTCTAGTTGCTTAAAAATGTGCAGTAGAAATCTGCCTCTCTAAAACATCTCCTGAATCCTCCATGTTACCTCTAGTTTAGGATCTTTCCAACTTAACTCTGAAATCCTTACACAGAAGTGAATCAGTGGCACAGGGATCTGTAGATATTCCAAAGAAAGGCCTGGTTAAAGCAAAGTAGTGCTATCTCCAGAGAAATAACATCTGACCAGCCCCCACAAGGCCTCCCAGACTATAGTGCACCATGGGCCAGGCCCGGCCGGTCCTCTAGCTTGTAAGTGCAGAAGTTTGATCTTAACAAAATGCCAGACTGAGTGGGCTGGAGAAAGCTGACTTATGCCAAAAAAAAATACACAGAAATTCAGAACTAATCAATTCAACTCATATGAAATATACAACTGTCAAATGGATAAGAAATCCAGGTGGTACTGTAGGCTACGTAGAAATCAAATTATTTTAAGATTGCTCAGACAACAGAGCATCAGAACAAGGGAAATGCGTTGACTAAGTGAATAGTTAGCAGCATCAGACACTAATAGTCTTGTGCATCCATTTCTGCACCTGGGACTCTGGGTTCTCAAGTTCGGGTTGGCTTCTCAGGGCAACACCACCCTGGAGAGCACTTGAATAGAGAACATGACTTTCAGAAGCTTCTTTTGCCAATCTCTAACCCTTGTCCCAGGAAACATTCTTTCTTTGGATATGTGGATAGTTTTAGGCAAGTTTTACACTGTCATATTTCTGCTTCAATCCATAATGTGTTGCTTTGATAGATTAATTCTCCGAACAACATCTTATTTCCAGCTTTTGGGGAAGAAAAAGGCAGGGATAATGCTAAACACACACGTACACACACTCTGGGCTATATTGATTTAAGTCTCTAAACCGCCATGCCCGGCTCTGCCCCTTTTCTACCCACTTCCCTTACTTGAGTTATGAAAAGTTAAAACCTTGCCAGTCCTCATTCCCTCTGTCTCTTTCCCTGAATGTGCCAGGATAGAAACAATACATGTAGCTGTGCTTCAGAGCGACCCACTTCTATAGCTCTTGACTAGAGCATTGACCTGCAATGGGCATGCAACCGTGTTAGCTCTGCTGCAATTAACTCAGATTATACCAGAAATGGTTTCTTAACAGGGTCAGGATCCCTTTCAGAATAAATCATTTGTGAATATTTAGTAGGAAACTAGTTGAAGATTTTACACAAAAACGTGGAGAGTTTCTACCATTGTCACTATCTCTTTTAGCAGAAAGAGCACAACCCTTACATTAAACCTCTTTCAGTGGAGGACGGAGAAATGGATGTCTAAATCATCAGCCACTGTAGGAAACATACAGACTTCCAAAGTATCATTTTTAGACGATTTTAAATCTTTAAGTGCTTCAGGATTGCTCGAATACCTAGGCATAAACATCAGGGTCACAAATACCATTGTCCATACACAAACTTGGTTGGAATATTAGATTTTCTGTGTCTCTATTCTTCTTAATATACTCAAATCTCGTTTCTAAAATATGTGTATTGCATTACTAGAAGTGGTTATATATTCAGGTTTTCAATCAACTGGTTTACTTGATTGGATTGACTATAAATTTGTTGACATATATTGATGATTCTTCATTTTCTTGCTCAGGGATCATTGCTTCTACTCATTTATTTTCGATCTCTCTAACTTTCTTATTTGACAGTATCCTACGAGCAACATAACAGAGCACTCCAAGCTCATAAGGAATGGTATAAACTAATTAGCAGATTTTTTGATGGAAACTCTTCCCCTCACACGTGATCCTGTCTGGATAATGAACTTTGTGGAAATATCTGGTTCCTACTACACTAAGGCAGCAGCCTCACTCAAACAAGCTCTTACTTTGCCCTTGGACTTCGGTTCATAATTATGAATATGGTACAAATCCAAAAACAAAAACAGTATGGGGCGAGGGACGGAGTTAAAAATAAAATAGCCTAAAAATGGATTTTGAGTTAAGAAAATTCTTGATCTTCTTTTGCAACTGACAAAAAGAAAAATAGTCCTAATAAGATGTGTTTGAAAAATACCATGCCTGAAATCACAATGCATAACTGAAGTAGAGGGAAGTTACCGAAAATTCTCCTGCATGCACGTGTGTGGAAACACTAAAGGGTTACTAACAAACGCTAAATAGAAGTGTTGAATAGTTTGTTATGGGGAGAAGATCCAGAAATAAGAGTGAGCATCAGTGCTGGTCCGTTACATCAGCAGTGGGGCTGGCAAACCCTACTGTGAAAGTCGCCTTTAAACAGCAGGTGCATGGTTTGACCACTCTAGCTTCTAGCCTCTTGGCAGCAGCAACAAATGAGCCTAGTCTTCACCACAGATTCATGAATGACCACAAGCCATCTCAAGCTGCATCAAAATAGCATCATCGTCCTGCTTCTGTTTTGGTCACATATTCCCATATTGGAAAATTCACCCAACATTATTTATTTCAGTTTTTGTGTGTTTGCTCATTACAGCTGTAATTTGTTACTAAAAATACCATGACATAAAATTCTAAAGTACCTTGGAAGAATGGGAGAAACCAAAAGAGAAAATTTTGTATATTTTTGGTCTTTTCCATGGAAGTGGTTCATTCATTTTAACAATAGTCATCAAAGTAGGAATATAATACAAACAAAATATCACCTAAATAGGTAAAAAGACACAAATATAGGACAAATGAATGATTTAAATGCCATCTCCAGTCTCTCTAGCATACTTATGATAAATCCTTGATTAATTTGAGCTGTGATTTGAAATATTACCCATCATACAAATGTGCATAAATATTCCTACACAGGAAAACACTTAACATATTTAACAATATACTTCAAACTTAAAAGTTCTGCAGATGACTAATTAGATCTTAAAATTATAGATATTTTACAGCTCTGCTTAAACATAAAAAATGCATTTGTCCAATTCATCCATATTAAAGGTATTTTTTCTCCTGATGAATATATGCATCATCCATGACTGCCGGTACCAAACTATAAGGATGCACTGTGATAAAAGCTATACCTGTATGTGAAATAATAGGAAATAATTTATTTCATAAAAATAGTAATTCATTTTTAATCTTCTATTACCACTGCTTCCATTACTTCTCTTGCTGTGGATTGAAGAGTATCTCAGATTGAAGTCAAGACAATTATATTTTTCATGTGTTTAGGCAAGACTTTTAAAGTTTGTCAAGTCAGTTCACGGATTATGGAAAAGACTCAAAAAAGGCAAACTTGATATTATAAGATGATGTAATCAAAGACTATTTAGAGATAGTATTACAAATATGAAGCAAATATATTTGGGCTAAAGGTCAGAAAACATATTTTAATATCTTTGTAGAAACATAAGAAAACAAAACTTGTTAATGACAGAGGAAAGTGTTCACTTTAGAACACAAATTTTTTCTTTATTGTAAGTTTAGCTTTCACATCACATTGTTAACATAGGCCAGCTATTATGCATTGGAATACACTTAGAGCATTCAATATGTACTGTGTTAGTATCTCCATAAATGATTCTGAAATAACATTTGCTCTTTCAATAGTTTTATTTTGGCAATAAGAAAATGTATGGGTGCTAGTAGAATTCCCCTTCACAGTAAATGAAAAAAATCTGAAAGAATATGTTTGTTGCAATTTGCATTTAGTTTTGGAAAACGCCTGTTTAACAACTGAACATAGCTATATTTTAACTTTTAAGCTACCACACTGAGAAAGTATCAAGGTATTGCAGCCATTTACTCTTAGGGACATTATGCTGGGCTTTGAAATTCAAAAAATAAGATAGTTCTTGAATTATTTTATGATCAATGTACGGTCTCTACACAAGGAAAATTAAAGCTGTCTGACTACTTATAGAAACATCACTGCCTATTAAAGATGGAAGAAATTGCATAAAAGCATGAAAAGCACTGGGTAATTTTGCAGTTTCATCTCTAAACACACTTGTGAAGATGTCTGTCTTTCAATTCTTCCTCTTTCTTCTGAAGCATGGCCTTTTAGTTCTTGCCCGTTTAAATATCTTTGCCTACCATAGCTTTGCTTCTTAATGTATTGGTTGATCTTACTGGGCTGAGAAAGTATTTACAAGGGGTGCCTGTTTTTTTCTGTATTCACAGAGAATGCTAACAAGTTAGAAGAAAGTGCAAGAGAACACCACATACCTTGCCCAGAACATTACAATGGTTTCTGCATGCATGGGAAGTGTGAACATTCTATCAATATGCAGGAGCCATCTTGCAGGTAATGTTTTCACTCTTTAATTTTTAAAATGTACAAAGTAAACACAGAGAACTAAATTCTGGATGTTTGCAAAGAATTGCATGGCATTCTGCCTGACTGGATGATCAGCAGCAAAACTTTTCACTGACTCTCCTACAAACACACACACACACACACACACACACACACACACTAGAAAACCATGAAATGTGTGTGCCTTACATACCTGAGTACTATGTAACATATCATTATGTATACTCTTCTGGTAGAATTTCAAATTGTACTTTGGGCATTACAAGCTTCTTAAAGACTCAGCCTCCTCTGTTTTATTCATTGCTCTTTCCCATGGTCATAGAATAGCTCTTGGCACATAACAGGAGGTCAATAAATATTTCTGAAATGAATGGATGAGGACTTAGGGTACATAAGATAACATCGTTGCTTTGGGGAGGTCATCTTTTCCAAAGTCCTTCAGGTGTCCGATCAATTTTATTAATCTTGGTTTTGCTAGGCACATACAAATTTCTGTGGATCTGCTACCCACAAGCCTTGTATAGTGCGATTATTAGCTATACCTCCACAGATTCTAACTCAGTTGAGACACAAAGAAATTGCTTGTCTGGACTTAGTTAATAAATATAAATATGTGCTGAATATTCATGAATAGAACATAATTATTGAGATGGTAAAAATATGGTAAACCGAAGGTGGAAAAACAAATGTATTTTTATTAAAGGAATCTACAAGTGGCATATGATGAAATAGGTTGTGTGTTGTTACACAGCGAAAGGAGTTTCTGTTTCTCCTCCTCCTCCTCCTCACTCTTTCTTCTCTCTCTCTCTCTCCCTTCAAGAACTGTCTTCCTTTTATATTTTCCTTAACTGAACATACTAGCACCTTCCAGTGAAGCAAGGCAGAGTCAACATAACTGAGAGGCTGGTCCTGCTGCCCTGTCATCCTTAGCAGGGTCCCCATTATTAAACCCTTCAAGGCAAAGAGGAAAGACCCCAGAATGGAGAAATTCCAAGTGAAGTACTAAAATAATTGCACAAAGCCAATGACAAGTTGACCCTTGTTGGTACTGTTAATGTGAACAGTTTCTTCATTTCATTGTCAAATGCTAATTTTAAAACGCAGATGGTCTCCTGATGCTTTCTGATGAGGGTTAAGTGAGTGAGAAGCAGTGTTCATTCTCAGATGAATAGCACATGGGTTTATTTTGCAGAACTCTGTTGTTTACACCACAATTGTTTTTTTTTTTTCTACTGAGATTTAGCTCTCTAACATAAGTAGGCAACTTTATGATCAACAAATTAAAGAAATCACTTATTGTATCCTTGGTCTAAACATTTTTCAACATTTATTCTCACAGTAGCAAGGGAATGCTTTATCCAAAAGTAAATAAATAAATAGCCCCGATTTACACCCATATCCTCAGAAACAAACCTTTTCTCAAGCAATCATGTCGACTTAGGTTGATTAAAGGACAAGTTAAATAAAACGTGAAACTCATCTGAAAAAAATATGGAAAGAATAGTATTTCTGGACATCCACTGCTTCTCTATATCATCATCACAAACCACGTACCAACCCTCCTGTCCTCAAAATCTTATTATAAGTATAGAAGAAAACCTCATACTTTTGAAACCAAAAACACAAAGAAATCTCGTTGAAAGGACATAGTCGAAAGCCATATCTACAAAATAGCATTTCTTTAAAGAGAGAAATAAACAGCCCTGATTTCACAATGAAGATAAATGTGTACGGGCCAACTATAAAAATGAGTCCAGCAGCTACAGGTAACTGGACACTGTCCTTTCTTCCAGGTGTGATGCTGGTTATACTGGACAACACTGTGAAAAAAAGGACTACAGTGTACTGTACGTTGTTCCCGGCCCTGTACGATTTCAGTATGTCTTAATCGCAGCTGTGATTGGGACCATTCAGATTGCTGTCATCTGTGTGGTGGTTCTCTGCATCACAAGGTCAGTAATGTGCTCAATGGCCACCCAGCTAAGGGAATCTGGTGTTCCTCCTTGCCTTACTTAGGTTACTCTATGTAGGAGTCCCTTTGTGGACTCGGCAGCCATCTGTTCTCAGGAGTCCTGTTTCCTCATCATAACAGCATGTGAATAGCATTGATTTTCATGCTGGAGTGCTACAAAGCATTTTCCTTATTTTTGCCTTTTGATGAGGATTATTTATTTTTGAGGCAAAGATCTGTTTTTCTCTACTATGTGATGCCAATCTTTGTTTAAATATGCTTTTCTCTTTTAGCTATGGAAAGTCAGTTTTCGTTCAAACTACTAACAGACTATTGAGATGACAGTGTTGTCTTATTTACCCAGATCAGTATGCCAAAAGAGGTGAGAAGAGATTGTATACAAGGCCTAGAATAGTGTTAAAGGATAGCGTTCATTTATGGTACTTATTTCCAATTGTAACGCTGATATAATCATTTTTAACATATTTGATGTAAACAACAGGTACATTTTTATGTTAAGTTAAAATACCTTTTAATCACAAAATTCAAAGAAAATAGCTACAATAAAAAAGATTATGCTGCAGTACATGAAAACCTTTGATATATGGAAACATGCAGCAAATATGACAACAAGCGTTTATACCAAACCCCCAGAACAATCAAATGCTAATTGTTTCTGGAGAGCTAAGATTGAAAGGGATCCAGAGACCTCATCCAGTTTCAATAGGAGAGAAAATCATGGTTAATTAGTGATGTCTGACACTGTGCTTGGAGTAAAGGCGTAAGGCCAGGTATTACTTGCTTAACTTCATCAGTGTGTAAAGTCATGGCAACCAAATCCGTATTATTTATGCCCTGTCTAACCGGAAATACTATTGAAGATACTTCTTTCTGACCTGATTTCATGCTCCTTGAGAAAAAAAGTTCCAAGAAAGTTTTTTAAGTTTTTTGCCAAATTCACAAGACATTTAAACTTTCGTTCATTTGTGCAGCTCTACAGTAAATCAGAATGTTTCCCCCAAAATTATTTTCCAAAGACAAGAAAATAAAAGAAACTATCATATCTTTAGAGAATAAAGGCCATAATACGTCTCCGTAGCTGTGCTGCGCTATCTTCTTTGAGGACAAGTGTGGCATTTGCTCTTGAAAAAGACAAAATATGGTTCATAAATCCTTGCCGGGCCTAAAAGCTTAAGGGAAGATCATCGACTGGAGCTTTGTGCTGCTCAAAGCCAAGCTGAGCTCATCAACTAGACTCTCACGTTTAGATGCCAAGTGAGTCAATGGATTACACTAAAATAGATTCTGGGGAATATAAAGATAACTCAAGAAACCAAAAATACTGAGTATAAAGGAAAGAGAAAAGAATCTAAAACACAAGAAGTGGTGCCATATTACTCTAAGGGTCTTGAGTCTTCCGATATGTACGCCACATCAGCACATGAAAAACCAGATTCCCATTTAATAGATCTAATCTCATTACAATTGGATTTGCTACTTCATGTACTGACAAAAATGCAAAACTTTCAATACTTTAGCAGATGTTCTCAAGTTTGTTATTAATCACAGTTCTGTTCCCATACATTGTAAGAATAGCTGGAATATGTAGGGTTCTTATTTCACCAAGCATTATGTATATGTTATATGTGTGTATATATCATACATGTGTGTGCACACACATATACATTTAATAACATATGAAGAAGGAACAGTGATCCCCGTTTTCAAAACAGAAATCCTGAGGTATGAGAAGTTAGCAAATTGTTAAGTGTACGCAGCTGAGCAATAAGAGCAGCTGTGGAGTCCGGGCTGCCTAGTGTCAGAGCCTGTGCACTTAAACCCTGCTCATACTGCCCCTCGGCTGGTCATAATGTCGTGTATTCCGATGCTCAAGACAACCTAAAATGAGCTCCAAATTAGAAGGAAGACATTTTTTAAGGCATATGGCCATTTTCATTTTCCATGTTAATACAAAACAAAACCTAGTCTCTATTTACTTTTGAGGAAGAGTACATGAGCTAAATTAGCATTTTTGTAATGCATTTTATAAAGCTGTCTTAGGATGTCCAAGTCTTCCAAAGTCCTTCCAGGAGTCACACTAGTCAAAAAGGCACACTCTTCCCAGTGTGGATTCTTTCTACTCACTTGAGAATGTGCTACTTAAAAACCAGATTTTCCACCTAGGTCATCTGCCCCTCCCCTAACCCTCCCCTTTTCTGGCCACCTTGACCACACTTGTCTGTCAAGACCTATTCCAACATATCCTGTTGTTAAAAGATTGACAAATTGCACCAAGCAGAGTTCCTTTCATTCTCTTCAATTTTCTTTTAATTTCTCCATCCCCTGGTCTCTCTTCTCTCTCTTCCCCTCCTCCCAATTTCTTTTTTTCTAATTGCTTCCCCTTGTTTTTATTATTTTAGTCAAACATCCACCCTCCTTCTAAATACAGCATGTGTCATAAAAATATAGACATCTAGAGACATGCTCTGGAATGAAAAGAGTTGCCCCGTTGAGAAGATGGATTTTCAATCTTTTTGTCTCCAGCTCCCACTTGCTGGGAATGTGACTTTCAGCTCCATGTTCATTTTGATTGATCTACCACACCTCTGTAAAAAAAAAATATATATATATATATAATATATATATTTATTCATATATGAACATATATATGAATGTATAATCTCTGAAAGCCATCTTATTGTAATAAGATTTTATATGAACTTTACATTGTTCTTATTTGCATCATCAAAGCATTTGTTTATTATAAGAGAAAAGACACCAGACCAGAGCTTTTCAGATAATTTGACTGAATTTAGCTTTTATAGAAGCAAAATAGTTGGCACCAATTTATGTCTCCAGCTTATGGTACTAATATATAAAAATAATATCAGGCTGAACCAAAACAATATCCCTTTTCATTACATATCAGATATTAAGAGTTGGCTCATTCTCTCGTTGGATAGGATTTAAACTTGTAGCAGTGAAATGTCAATATAACATTCATCTTGAGGACATTTAAAATATAAAATTGTTGAAGACATTTAAAGTGAGATTAGATGAGCTCACAACTTGCTTGACTGCCTTGTGCTGAGTCATTTTTGTGCCTTCCCAAGTAAGCGGTTGAGGACCAGGTAAATGTATTCTTCTTCACCTTCTGCCTCTGTTCTTCAGCGCTCCCCAACAGACGCTTAAAGACAACGGCAAGGAGAAGCAAAAAAAAAAAAAAAAGTCTTCCAAAATAATCCCAGCTTCTACTAATAATAAATTCTTTTGTCTGAAATATTTTAACAATTGGCTTAATCGACAACTTCACTCTGTAATTGTAGGACCAAACTTCAGGTAACAGCACTGGACTAAGATTTGTAAACTTTCCAACCTTCTAGGAAATGCCCCAGAAGCAACAGAATTCACAGACAGAAGCAAAATACAGGGCACTACAGTTCAGACAACACAACAAGAGCATCCACGAGGTTAATCTAAAGGGAGCATGTTGCACAGTGGCCGGACTTCCGAGAGCTGGGACTACACAATACAGTATTATAGACAAAAGAATAAGACAAGAGATCTACACATGTTGCCTTGCATTTGTGGTAATCTACACCAATGAAAACATGTACTACAGCTATATTTGATTATGTATGGATATATTTGAAATAGTATACATTGTCTTGATGTTTTTTCTGTAATGTAAATAAACTATTTATATCACACAATATAGTTTTTTCTTTCCCATGTATTTGTTATATATAATAAATACTCAGTGATGAGAAAAAATTGGCATTCTTAAATTTGCGGTATCTCATAACTGTAAATATAATCGAGCTGGTACAATCTGTACAGGTACCAATAGTTCATCTTTCCCCACATCTTGAGACAGAGCATTAGTTTATACAGGACTCGGTGGCTAGGTTTTGAGTGACCCCAAGATCTAGGGAAATGATGGTTATTGGAAAAGAGAAAAAAGAATTTACTTTATATCAAGTAAGGATAAAATATTTCAGATCTTTGAATCATCTCTATTTCATCAACTTTCTTCCCTGGTCTTCCATTTTCATCCCCAGAGCTGAAAAATCTCTGGCATATAAATTAAATCAAAGAAGAAGGGGAGGGAAAGTGTTCTATAACTCATAAAAGAGAGGGAAAGAAGATATTGGTTTTTATTTGGAAAGCATCTGAGAATCTCGCTGTTAAGTGCATTTACCTGAAGGGGCGGGAACAAGTTACATATCAGGAATACGCAGAGCACAAAATCTGTTCCATTTAGGTGAGTGGAATTAAGAACTTGCAGAAAAATTTATTAACATCATTAAAAGTGAAACACCAGAAACACAGATTCTCAGAAGCACCTTGCTACATTTATGGCATAGAGTTCTTTAAAAAGAAGTTGGAATCGCCACCAAATTCCTTATGAATAGCTTTATGGCAAATGCTGACCCATAATTTGAAGTGGGACTACGGTGATGATGATAGTTCATAAAAAAACAGAGAAATACATTGTAAGCATATTTAAATGCTGAGATAAGAAAGCAAATTAATCCCATAGCACCTAAAAGAATTTAGTGGGAAGTTGATAGGAATTCTTGAGCATATAAATAGGTATGACCACTTTGGAAAGAAATAAAATATGAAAATTCTCAAAGAATACAAGGTAAATAATAAATCAAATAATTGCCTTATTCTCGCTTAGTTCTCCCCAGCTTGTAGTGGCTAATATAGTAAATCTAGAGCTTTCTTTGCCTCCTTTCAATGACCTCCACATGGACTAAAAGGAACGACACTCCTGTGTTCAAAAAAAAAATATATCAAATCAACACATTCTGGATGTAAAATATTCGGTGAAAATAGGTTTCCTGAAGTGATATTCATGATATTTATAAAAACATTCAAAAATGGTGACAATCGAAATAGGATTTAGGATGCTGAAACACTTGGTTTTCTAGGTTAGTCGGCACTCTGAAAAGTGTGAATCTATGGGCATAACCATCATGCAAGTGGTTCCATAAATCGGTCTTATGCTACTTGTACAAAACACACTCCATTTGAACTTGTGCATGGAGCTTTAGTTTGATTAACAAGTGCAGAGATACACTAGCAGTAATCTCCTTTGTCAGACCATAGTCAACAGCAAACCCTTCCACCTAAAGGAAGAGCAACAATGCAACACTATAGAGCTTAGTAGAGTTAAAAGAAACCGCAATTCCACCGACCTTTACCTGTTAAGAGTATGAAATGACTTGCTTTGCTAAATATTGGCATGCTATTTTGCAGGATTTTTTATCAAAGAATCATAAACCTAAGTGTTGGAAAAGTCCATGGTTTAATAATACAGTGCATTCCTATTTACCTCCATGCTCACCTACCCCATAAAGGAAGTCCTTTTAAAAGATACATAGTGAGTCATAAGTGAGCATATACTATGTGCCAAGCACCATTCAAAGTCTTAGGGAAATACAAGTAAAACGGGATCTTTACTCTAAAGAAACTCACAATCTAGTCCTGACAGATAATCATCCAACCTCTACTTACATATTTCTCATAATTTGGAATTTCATTCTTGGTTACTTCTAATCTTGAGACATTATTCTTTGTCTCAGATTGAGTTGAAATTTACTTCTCTGTGATTTCTACCCACCGCTCTTATTTTTCCTTTCTGGAGCAAAGGAATAATGACTTATATATTTAAAAATATTAGAACACGGGACGCCTGGGTGGCTCAGTCGGTTAAGCGGCTGCCTTCGGCCCAGGTCATGATCCCAGGGTCCTGGGATTGAGTCCCACATCAGGCTCCTTGCTCAGCAGGGAGGCTGCTTCTCCCCCTCTCTCCCTCTGCTTGTGCTCTCTGTGTCAAATAAAAAAAAAATCTTAAAAATATTAGAACACATATGATTTTTCCACTCACCTGGCAGCCCTTTTGCAAGTACTTTCTTCTCTGGATGAAACACCCTTAATGTTCTCACCCTGATCTTCATGTGATATAGTTTCCACTCTCCCCTAGCATCTGCATCAGCCTTCCTTGGACAAATTCTACTTTGTCTACACATTTCTTTAAGTGTAGAGCTCAGAATTGCACAGTTGTGGTCTCACCAGGAGAGAATATAGTTGCACTTGTAAAAAATCAAATTTAACTGAAAGCCACGATCTCTAAATTCAAGTTCCTACTCCGATCACAAATTTGTTGTGGAACCATGAGCAAGTCATTTCACATCACCAGTCCACCAGTCTTATTTTCCTTATCATTTCTATCTCCATAGTTCCAAGATTCTATATATTCAGAAACCAGACACTACCCTTTCATTGTTGCTACCCAAGACCACATTAACTATTTTTGCTGCTTGCTCTCAACTTAAACTTAAAACTTTTTAAATAAACTGCTATTAAGCCATGTCATTCACCCATTCATTCATTATACATTTATTTTACATTGTACATGTACCAAGGGCCACCAATTAGCAGCACCATACTAAGCTATGAGAATACAAAGATAACTAAGATAAAATCCCTGCCTGAAAGGATCTCACTCTCAGCTCGTCCTGGTTCCTTGCATCAAAAATCTCACAGCCCTGGCGGGAGACAGAAAGGTAAATGAACCATTACAAAGAATGTCACGAAGGCAATGTGAATGGTCAGTTCAGAGTGCTTGGTGACCCTGCAGGAGGAATCTCAAGGCCAGGTAGATGTGCCTCTTCACAGTGAGATACCCAGGATGACTTCCTCATTCTCTACACAAATTCTGACTTCTTGCTTCTGAGATTTTATCCGCTTCTCATTGCTCTCTTTATGCCCTTCTTTTCTCCACAACAGCCGGAGCAAATACCAGCGTATCAGTGCAGCCTCCATGATCCCCTTGGCAGTCTTCCCAACTCTGTTACAGCACTTTCCAGGTTGTTCCTTAATTGTCTACACAAGTCTGTCTTTTCCTCAGCCTGGGAGCAACAAGAAAGCAGAAAATTAGCACCTTGCCAATTGTTTCCATTTGTTCAACTATCATGTATTGGGTGCCTACACCATGCCAGACATTATTCTAGGTGCTGTTATAGAGCGCTGAAGTAGATAACAGATATCTGCTCTCAAGCTTACACTCTAGCAAAGGAGAGAGAGGAGAGGATTAACTGAACAATAGAGAAAAACAACAACAAAGCTATAAAGTTATAAGTTCTATTCAAAGAATTAAAGATAGAACGAGGTGATTCGGGGTGGCTGGGTGGGGAGTGGGGATTGAATCCCTCCAAGGAGAATGTAGTACTTAAAACTTGGTCTCTGAAGCAAGACAGAAATGGGTCCCAGTCTAAGTTCCACTTCACTAACTACTCAACCTCGGGCAAGTTGCCTAATTTCGGTAGGCATCATATTCAAAATGGAGACAAAGACGTCTTCCCATACTCAATATCGCTACTGTGAGAAGTAAACAAGATGATTCATGTCACACTTAGAACAATGACATGCAGACAGTAAATTTTCGATATCTGGAATTTTTTTTCAGGGATATAATAAATACTTGTTGTACAAAGAATTAAGAAGAAGAAACCGTATTTCACCAGTTGAGTGAAACGTAAAGGGAATCATGTGGCTAGAGTTAGAAGGCATCAAGCTATCAAACTTACTCAAAGGATTGTCTCTTATGGAGACAAGAAAGCTGGTTCTGGAAAAATGAGGCAATATAGAGTTAAGAAACAATACAGCTCCTCTAATTTTTTTTTCAAATGGGTTCACTGGCATCATGTCTGAACAAGAAAAGGGATCATTCTTTCATTTTAAAAGAGGTCTAGCCTGATAAAACACATACTGTTAAACCTCTTGTGTGTATTTCCAGGCACAGGATGAGTAAGTCAATATTGCAGTGACTTCGCAGGGCTGAATTCTTTACTTTCATGAATCCTTGAGGAGAAGTCAGTGCAGACTATCAAAATATGACAGAGATTATCTCAGAGTCATATTAGACTCTCTGCTAATGTTTATCTTCAGATGCTACCTCCCTTCTCCAACGTCATGCAGCACCTGCACCAAATGTTACTGTTCCTCAGTTAGAGGAGACATCTCATATAATTAATCATCTGGCTATCAATAACAAAAACCTTTTCATTTAATTAATTGCTATCTTTATATGAGCATTCACATGATATGAAGGATGAAGGATTATATAAAGTAAGGGTATTGGTTTATAACACATAAATATACAAATGAATATGGCCCTCTGCAGTCGGCATCCTGAAGGTATGGGTGATGTGCAGCCCAGCTGGTCATATTCAGGCCTCCTTCCAGCCTCGCTCTGGATAAAAATCTACTTTATAATTCCACCTACTCAGAATGTGACCTTCATTGATATCTATCTCCAGTAATACTAAATGAGTTATTTTAACTCAGGTTTTTCATTTACTTCTAACTTTTTAATTATTTTTCATGATTTCTCTTGCATCAGATAAGAAGTGAAGGAAATGATGCCTTCCTTTATTTTCCAAAGCAAATTCAGTTCAGCACGAGAGGCTAACTCAGAGTTAATGAGAAGTCCAAAATCAGGTGTTAACGTGGGAGAGGGGACAAGAACAAGAACTGGTCCTCTGTTCCTAGGACTTCCATGGCCATCATGAGCCTGCCACTCTTCCTGATCTACAGGAGGCTTGGCCACAGTGACCTCCGGGGGCAGCTGATCTCCAGACCCACACAGTGAAGCCATTATGCGGGGCGTTTTGAGAGGGCTTTATGCCCCTGCTCTCTGTGAGGGTCACCGCTTGCTGGGCTTTCTCCCCTTCTCCGTATCCTAACCACCTTTTTCCTTC